ACCGACGTTCTCTGCCGCTGGAGAGTGTATTTGTATACTGTATAAATATGCTTTTGAATAACATCCTAGAGATATTACTCAATAGTACTTGAATATACATTTGAAACACTGTGTGGCACTTAAGCTTGTGAGTGATGAATATTTCACACTGAAATAGATGGAAATTATCTAAGTCTACGTTTCTCCCAGTTGGAAGAGAAAAGTTCAACAATAGATCGCGCTGAATAAAGATGTACGCAGAAGAATCCGTTTCTGTCAAGCAAAATCTGATACACAAACTCTCTAATGTTGATAAAAGAAATGACATATTTGAAAAATGTTCGAAATGATTCTTTGGAATGATTGCCTTCTTTTATGGAAACGTATTGACGTTTGAGGGAGAACGATTTCCAGCAGGAACTTATAAATTTGCCACGTTATAACAACTATAGTGTTCCTTCCAAACCTCTTTTAAAAATGCATCAGAGATATGAACAAGGGGATATTGCAATTATTTCAGTTATGGCACGATCTCATTAGCAGTTCTTCTTTTTGCCTCGCGAGTTTGATTTATACACGACTTACGCCGAATTACAGTGAAAGGGAAGCGATGCCCATGAATGATTTATACTGATAATGCCAGTCCAATTGGCAGTCACATTATAACACCGTGGCTCTTCAAACCGTTACCATACTAATCAGTCTTAATGCTACTTGTAACTCACTGACCTTTCTCGAGGCTTATATTTCAGTGCAGAAGGCACTGTAACATTGTGAACATGAATTTTTTTGTATAGATCTTGAATGCATTTCTCAGTAGTGGCACTGCACTCAATGCAAACTCATACACCTTGAGGTCACCAGGTGGTTCGATGTACAAAAGAATAAAAATAGCCCGTTTTTTAACATGCTGGAATATAGGAGGACTGTAGTTTTATGAAACAGTCTGAGTTACTTAGTACTTTATGTGTTGAGTACTGTAAAATAAGACATATACTTTTTAAATTTGAATGGAAACGCCATTCTTTTATTTTGCGTTATCGTAGCTTAATACATAAACCAGACTCGGAACCGGTTGTAACAGACAGAGAGTCCCCCATGATAGAGAGACTGCTTTCCATTCATTTGTACAGGTAAGCCTCACCCTAGACGTTGACCCACTTAGGTCAGGCTAACCCTAACCATAGTAACTAAATGGAGGGCCCACTTTTTGTTACACGGATGAGATGTTTTTTTCTAAATAATATACCAGTATTTGTTAATGTTATCGCAAATACATTTCTTGTAAACACATGCTATAGTACACAAATCATCGTCTCTTCCATTGCTAAAGCACACATAATTAAAGGATGTCGTAGCATTGAATATGTTAGCTTCTTGTCACAAAGTTTCTGCTCAAAGAAAGGTAACTGTGAATGAAAAAGGCGTGAAAGACAACAATGGCTGCGGTTAACTGTGCAACGTCTAAACTTTGCTATCTTTAATTGAATTAATCGAGGTCCTAGAAACAGTACTAATATGGCTTCGCATCCATGATACTAATCGACAAATGTTTCTTTTTGCTCCGCAGCCTATGGTTGGTGTTGTGAGCCAAATGGGCTGAAGGCCATTTGCAATCAAATGATTAAAATAAATGACTCAAAAAGAGCTTTCAGACAAATTCCAAACATCAAACGGTAAGATAAAAACACCCGGCCTTCTATAGTTATGAAATTGACAAATGGTTTCTTTAAACATAAGTGCTTTTAGCGTTAGAGAAACCTTGGGAATAATTCGTACAAAAGGTTTTCATGGTTTCGCCGTTGAGGTCATCAATAAAACATACGTCCCCGACCTCTGTGCTGCATACCTTGTTGCGTGTACTGCGAGCTCGGGGTAAAAAGCGCTTATTCAACGGTCTGAAAAAACAAATTTGAGATAAAAAAAGCCGAACCGCGGTGAGACGCTTAAGTTGGCAAATATGATAAGTGACATTGTCCTCGACAAGCTCTCTTAGTCGTAATAATGAAACTTTTATTGGGTATTCAACTGTTAATTGTATGACGCTCCGTTAATATAACGTTAGATACAAAGTGGGTCATATCAATGGCGACTATAGATAGAGCACCACAGGGACTAATGACTGGTTAGGCTTGGGTGTTTCCAATGGATTAATGATCAAACGCCTCATCAAGGAGAGCCATTATACGACTTGGATATCAAGAGAATACAATTAATACTAGTGCGGTCAGACATATTTCATGCATCTAACTGGTGTTCTACCTCATAGTTAATGAATTAGAACTGGTATTTTATTGCTGTGAATTATGACCAAGGTAATGCCTTATGACCACATGTTTATTGAATTAGTCTCGGTCATTCAGTAATATGCTTTCTGGTTTCTACTCGTTCTGCGGTGGTAACATGACTGTTTAGATTAAATCAAGAGCCATTATGTGCGTTTGGACGCTGTAACGTTGAATGAGTATTTGGCTGGTTCCTCCTTTATGATGCGCCATAATTGGTCGTACACTGTGTCTTAAATCAACATTAAATCAGGATAACTTTCAGTAGTCTTTTAATAAAACAGTACCACCATGTTATCTTTAAATCAAAGCGATATGTTTACACAAATATAAATTTAGAATAGATGAATGGTATCAAATACAAATAAATTATGTCTGTAGGAAATATATGGGCTACTAATAAGCTTTAAATACCAGCAGTGTCATCCCGATTTTTGTAACAGCTGCGTCCTGTAACTGACTTACATCAATACGCAGTCTTACTTTATCCAGAAGTGAATACATGCATACATACATACCTGTGAGATATTGGATTTGTAGGTTGAAAACTGTTCAAATACCTTTTCCGCTTCACCAAACAAGAAATGAATGGTCTCGTTGACAAACATCCTCTAAATTTAGACTGACGGGTTTGTTGAAACGATGTCTTTTGCACATGACAGACGAGCTATTTGAAAATGAAGATAGCTCGTCCGCATGCCACAGGTTGGAAGACGAACTCCACGATTCGTATCAGTAAAGCATACTTGAGTGGCAGGCTATCACGGATAAGAGATTGGTTATGCGATATACATCTGGGGCAATCTGGGCACGTTCAATTGTATGTATATCGTACCGCAATGGTTGTAACCTATCACTTTTGTTTACATTGAAATATGTCTGTTGGAATATAGGTTTTCAACAAAAGTATATTTTTCTTTGAAATAGTGCAATGGAGAGACAGTTTTGGATTCGGATGATTCTACAAATAATTGAATTACTACATTTCCGCTAAAATATTATTTTATGATCATTTATTTATATTACAAAAACGTTTGCGTTTCTGAATTATTTTTTCATAATTTAATCAACGTAAATATGTAAGCTTTTAGTAGAATATCAAAATACTTAATAATTCATTTGTAAACAGTACAAAACACAAAGCGCTGGATTCACATCGAAGAACATTAATAAAGTTGTTTGTAATTTCGGAACTCTTTGTGCAGTGGTGAATCTTTAAAGAACAGAGAATTGCAGCCCGTGTAAAAATCGTTATTTTTAATCCAGTATATTGTATAATTACCAATGTAATATGAACGGTGGGTACAGATAAAGTAAAAATTCGGCCCACTGGATTTAGTGGCAATGGCATTTGGTTATGCAGAGCAGCCAAGTGTGGCAAAAAAAAAAAAAAAAAAAAGAAACGTATGGAACACGAAACACTGTAAAACCATATCTTACGTGTGAGCATTGTTGGATTTTAATATAAGAGTATCAAATTCCTCACACAGTCGCTCTGCTCGATGCTTAAAAAGCCACCTTCAACTTCTGTCACTGACGCTACTAACTCTTTGTACAATTCGTAATTTACATTTTACGGCCACTGTGATCGTTCTACAAGACTGAGTATTGGCCCCGAAAATAATGGACAAACGTTTTTGTCTTAAACGAGCAATGAAAACCAAACGAAATTGGCCAATAATTTTATGTTAAATATTGGATTTCGACAATGGCTCTGTTTTCACCAACTGTATATTCAAACAAACAGTCTCTGATGATGTATGTGACTAGATCGAGAATCTAGTAAAAACAGATAAATCTACAAGCAGGAGATGTCTCTTGTTGGTCTTGTTACGATATGAGTAATGCGATGTCATTGCACACATTAATATTGAAACATGCCATTGATGATGGAATTACCATCGCAATGCAATCGTGTTAAATAATATATATCCTAACACCGCATGGTAATGATCAATTTCACAATGCTTTCGCCATTGTTATCATGGTGGTTTCACAGTTAAGTGAAAGCACACGAATTGGTAGAGGGAAACGCTATACAACATTTCGTTTAAAACATTAAACTATTCGAACATTGTAACAGTAACAGTAACTTTCTTTGCAGACAGTATAATACAGCCAGGGATAACTCGGTTTTCACTTTGAAATATGCCGATGGTATTGAAATAATACAATAATTTAGACTTATTCAGCTTTGCATCAATATCCAATAGTCTAGCTGTCGTGGGTAGTTCTGGCGAGCACGATAAGAACGCCCAAAGCTCCCTGCTGAGCGTAGTTAAATACGTACTTACTGACAGAATTGATTACTATGAATACAGACCTTAAAGGGTCGAAGCTACATTGAACAACACTTAACGGTGCAGCCTGCAGGCAGTATGTTCATATTCAGTTCATATTCAGTTCTAAAGGACGTTAATCACTACAGTATTATTGAAAGTGGCACTACCACACACTTACGTTAAAGCAGTAAAAGCAGCAGGCCCAAAGTCACTTGACGGTCAACAACTTGTAACTATATCCAATACAACTTTAAGTTTGTACAACACAGAATGAGTCTTATTTCAAAATGGTGTCCAGAACGATAAATGATGGTAATATTAGATGTCGCAGTGGTTCCAGGGACAATCTGGTTAAAACGTGTCCGTTTCAAAATGATTTTTGCGATTTACGAATAATGACATAGATGACCAAGGGTCGTGACGTGGTCAAAGTATATATAAAAGTTTGGTTAATTAAAAAGCAGAGCTCCATTGGTGCCGATCACATACAGATGGTCAGACATGACCGATATTGTTTCACGGATTCCACGGATACGTCCTCGTGTCAATACGATGAACCAGACAATATTCCAATCTGGCGATGCCCTCATGAAACACCGGTTTCTACTGCGGAAATTTGTCCCAGCTGTGGTCACTGGTAGACGTTTCACATTTTAAGGACAATGGTCGCCGGGTTCCCGGTAAAAGACGAATTCTGTATAATGTTGCCATCGACTTTCTTCAATCTCCATACCGGGCTTGACATCCGCGCCATTTGTCCCTGACGCCATGCCAGAAGCCATATGAAACCCTGCCTCTGCCAACATATCAAACGCCTGCTCCAGGAACGTGTGCTTAAGAAAGAAGCGTCCCGTGTAACGGTCATCAGGGCCGCGGTCGGGGTCTCGACTTTCGTTCAGAGTTTCCCCAAACGCCTCTCGCAGGAGGGACACTCTTCCGCAAACAAGGAGCCGCGTCAGCTTCCGGAATTTTACGTCAACTAATCCGTCACGACCGAACGCGAAGGTACCCCTGTACCCCAGGGTGATATAGCCCGCAGAACCCCAATGTCTCTGAAGTGGGGCGGGGAGACTGTTTATTCTCATTCGACTGTACATAGCAATCCGGGAGTGATGGTCCATTGTGTCCTCGTGGTCGTCATGTACATCATGTTTAATGCCTTTGGTGAGTTCTGGTAATTGGAAATACTCTGCCTCGTGTTTCAGACGCTCCTTTTCCTGAAAGTTCTCTGGCAGGACCAATCTCTGGTTTCGCAGGAAATCCAGAACGTACCGAAATAACACACCGTCTCTGTCTAGAAAGTACTTCCCTTTGCTGTCGCGAGGCAATGTCTCCTCGCTACGGCCAGTGAAAATCTTCCCAAGGTAAGAGTTCGGGTACCGCGTGAGGGTGGTAGAAGTCGTAGAGTATAGCACCCCACCGACGTTCAGTTCCACTATGGCAGGGTGGTGCTGATCGTTGCTATTGCTGTTACTAGTCATTTTTCCCCTCTCGGTTGAGATATAGTGAAATTTGAGTGGAAGCCAATGCCAATGTTTGAATGTCAATAGTTATTCCAAGGAATCACGTCAATAAATCTAAAAAAACTCGGTGTTTCTTCGTATCAGTTTACTGGGATTCCTCTCCTAGGTTCAAATTAATGTAGTCAGTGATTGAAGGAAACACGACTTAGAAGGTATCCCATTAACACATACTTAACGTGGTAATTTGTTGTGAATGTAAGCAAAAAAGGCACCGCTGATGGATTGTGTTCTTAAGTAAATCAAAAATGACTCAAGGACAGTTCGTTTGTCAATATTGCGTTATGCAGTGCAAATATTAGATGCAATTGTGTATCAGAAAGCAAAGAACATTATTAAATAAATCCTTAGTTACTGACCTGAGGAAATAGGCTCTGATGCTGGGCATTCAACGTCAAGTCAAATCTGTTTATAAAATACCCGAAGCCTGTTTGCAATTGTGTTCAGTTATGTACGTTACCGCCAGAAATGTCTACCTTTTAAAACGATCCTTTTCACCTGTAGATATATTTCTTTCTGGTTTCCGTTAAGTGTCCTTACGTTTTAGTTTAATGATAACTCAACCCTGACGTGCATTGAACATTTGCGTTATCACTTAATCGCGCAGGACTGTGCATCTGCGATTTTACTTTGAACCTACTGTTCCCTACTAAGTCACATTCGACGGCGATATATGGGATAACTTCGGCCTTTAAAGAGACAATATCTTCTATGCTGTACGGACTGTGTGCTTCCGTAAGCCAAATGCATATGCACTGGAACCCTCAAACACGTTAAATGTGGATTAACGATGTAAAATTCCCGTGGCGAATTTCCCAGTGAGTGTCAAGCCGAGTTTTCCCCGCAATGTGCATGCAGTCGACAGTTACGCCATTATCTTTACCAAACCTCAGTTTGGGTCGCTTGAATCTTAAACTTCCAAGCACGAACTATCTCTTCATTTAGACGAGTAATGCACAGTGCATGATATAAACACACGTCCCGTGCAGGAGAAAAGTCGATCGAATCCTTCTCGCCAGCAGAGTCTTGTTTCGCAGCCAAGTGAGGCAGCAAAGTGCTTAAGCTGTTTAAATACGATTTCTGGGATTCCACTGGTAGGTACTCTGAGCTTGCGCAGTTCAGTCTGTGACGACAGCGAAGAGTTAAGCTGAAACGTGCTACACCCGCATGTCATGGTTTTAAAGGGTCAACCATCTGTATGGCAGTTTTGATCTGGAAGTACTGAATGTCATGGTGTACTAGCGTGTGCATGTAATGCACAGTCGATGATTTATAAAAAACATCCCATGTTTAAGATATGACGATAGTTGGGACATAGGAGGCCGATCTCAAGTAGCGCGACTAAGTGCCATGTTATTCCGTGGAAATTATTTTCGATGTTTGGCTGAGATTTTAAGTCTTGGGACGGCTATTTGCATATAACATCATATTCAACATGAGATTGTTCTAGCTAGACCATCTACTATAAAGGTGAATAAAAACCACTTGGCAAATATGTGCCAAAGTCTAGGTGGGAATTCTTCATTAGTTTTTTGCTGACGCCCGGCGTCACCGCGTTATGTACAATGTTATTAACATCACAGTTTAATGAATACATGATATGCATGATATACACCACATTTTTGTGAACGATAAAGCGTCTTGGGAAGTTTGCTGACAGCGTGTATATCAGGCACGCAATGGGACGCTCCGTTCCATGCAGTACATGTACATTGCCAATTGAATCTAACCACAGAACCGATTTTTTTTCACACATCTCCGCTGTGAACAAACGTCTCAACTATTCCTATTGTACGTCCTGTTCATATTTCATAGTATAGCACTTCATGTAACAATCTCATAAAATGTGTCGATTTCGAAGTTTGTGTCAGTTCCATATCACTATATATGGCTACGTATGCGGACGCGACAGTATATTTGTGCAGCAGCTCAACACAGTCGGCTGACAGCGGAATTGCATTTGTTGTTCCTTTCTTCTTTACACGTCGTAACTCAGACGCGTGACCAGGTACGATCTACTATAATGCACATGTCATTGCACATCTTATGACACCACCTAAAGGATAAGTTAACGTCGATTATGTTCCTGAATGAAGCGAAGCTGTAAAGATATGAGACACTTTGAAATTATGTCTTTGGTGAACATAAGAACCTCCGTCTTTAATCAAACGCTCGCGCAATCACTAAGAACACAAGAACACACTCCGTAGTGTGCTATCCTTAGGGAAATGGGGCGACATTCTAACAAAACTAGTCAGCGAAGACTAATGACAAAGGTACTTAAGTGTTCATTACATAAAGAGCATGTTAGGCTAAGAAATCACAAATGCCAACGGGGTGCCGTATCATCGTGTCTCCTGAGAGTAAGGAGGCACGTGTAGATTGCGCAACTAATAGCAAATCAATGGACAATAAATGATGATGGTCCTAAGGACCTGTAATATGACGTTAACACAAATTCCAGTTTTCTGTTTTCTCTTCCACTCGGTAGCGGCCAGGTTGGAGTCAATTGCTAACCACCCCACGTGGTAATCGATCGGTAATCAATAATATTGCTAGGCAACCGGTTGGTTTACCACGATGGGGCAATTGGGCGTATGTGGGAAAGGTAAATACGCCCCTCGCTGGACTGGTATTTCGCCGATATTACCAACCAGTAAACAGATAGTTTTTGTCGATTATTTTCTACCTTTACTGGTTCAGGTTGTTCCTGCGGTCTAGGTTTTTGGTTGTGGTAACCGCATCATTTAAAACAATGACCACAATCAAATTTTTATGTCGTCGGTAATATATCAACTTTTATCCTTTCTACCGTTGAGATGAGGAGCGTCCTGTCACGTGATTGATTTACGTTGGCAGGCATGCAATGTGTGCTGTCAACTATCTATAGCAGCCACTGGCAATCTTATCGTTAACACATTAGGATCAGATCCGGGAAGCCGCAAATTTTGGAAATTAACCTTAATGCTTACCAGGTGTTCTCTTAAACGTTACTAAGACAAAGACATAGCTGCACCTGTATGGCATCTGCACACATACAAGATATAAAGCAGACGCATGCAATAAATAATCGCCGACGAATTCTTATTCTCGCTTATTGTTTATTATGAAGAAACAATACTGAACGCCTCACGAAACCCGCTTATTGACGTCACGTCAAGCTGATTTATATGTATTTGAAGATGCTGGATAGCTGCACTGAGCAAAATTATAACGGCGGTGATACTGAATGCGTTGTCAAAGCGAATTTAAAGTAAGATTCTAGAATGTAAAATACACACACACGCACGCTCATACATATACACACACACACAGAGAGAGAGAGAGAGAGAGAGAGAGAGAGAGAGAGAGAGAGAGAGAGAGAGAGATAAAGGGGTTGGGTCGTGTTCGGCCAAAGACTGATGACTGGTTATTAGGAAATGACTGTAATTCCGGTTAAAATGTGCTAAATGATTTCAGGAAAGGTCAGTGCCAATTTCACAGTGATTGATAGGGTTCAACTCCAGGGCGCTGCGTCTAGTCCCTGCTGTCTTTTGGGAAATTTAGTATTTGCAAAATGTTAAAGACGGTTCCTCGTTACAAGTTACCTGTGCCTGTTTATAATTTGACTTTTTTTTTGAAAGCTGTTTGACTTATAAGTCAATATCATCACCCATAGGTACCAGTAAATACGATAAAACCATCAAGCTTGTATACTTTATTCTGTGCAAATGCAATATATCATTGAGTTATTTTTAATGCAACGTACACTGTGTTTGTCCTCCTTAGCGCTTTTTCTTTAAATAAGAAAATTAGCTCCACAGCGTATTACAATGTATCCACAGTACCTCAAGGGGCCTTTAATTATTGCTTGTGTTAACGTCGCAGGGACACATATTTTCGCTCGTTCATCAATACCTTCCAAGGCATGTGTCAACATCATTATTCTTGGAATGCATATGTCTACTTTGTATGTTATTGAGACAAATAAGGAACGCAAAAGAAGAAAAAGGATTACAAAGAAATGCTTTATAAAGGCGGAGATCATGCCAGCTACGGAGTAATACTTCGTGTCGCAACTGAAGACGAGCATTGTTGGCTCTACTTGGTACACGTCTTTTGTATGTTTTGCTATCTATCACCTTTCTTTCAAGTGTCATTGATATGCCTTGATATGCTTATAAAACCAATACATGATCAAAGTTCGATCCAAATATTTGCATCTGGGTAATGTTATAATGGTTATGGAAGGGTTGCATTTGTTTTTGATCCACACTGTCAGGCACCCAGCACATATAGTATACCATGTTGTTCTGATGTCAAATGCAACAAGCACGTGTATCAAAAACACATTCTGCGTGTGCAGTTGTTTTATTAGTAGTTCTTTATATTTACTTACCTAATAAAGAAGCCACTTGATTTCTTAATGAAAAAAAAAAAATGAAAATACAACAAAGTCAACTACCACTCCAACCTCCCTCCCTCCTTCCTTAGGGATTATGTTACTTTAATTCTCTCTCAGAAATGTCATGGCGTGTTTAAGTCTAATTGTACAACCCACGTGGTAATGTTCTGTCTGTCTGTGCTTTCTCATTCTCATTCGGAATTGGCTGTTTCCTATTAATTAACGTTCCTTTGCATAGGTCGGTCAGATTTATCTGTAGGAGATTGACTTCCTTCTAAATTCGTTAATAGTCAAATGGGTTGATGATATTTCTTGTGGGTTCAACGTCCTGAAACCGTTTCTTAATTGGTATCACAAAGTCGACTTTATACGTAGTCGGCTATCCGATTTTACATTGAAGCAGTATGAGCCGAGGTCAAAATCTTCATTTGTTTTGTGAACTAGTTCTCAGTTTTTTGTTGTTTTTTTCAGGGCTATTTTCTACCTAAATAGATCCAATAATCAAACATGTATGATGTAAAATGATCTAGAGTCCTGGATAAAAGGCGTAAAAAGCTCAAATAAAAGCTAAGGATTTAAAGGCCACACATTTTCTCTTACAGTTGGATACCGCTATTTCCTTGGCGACATTTAATGCAGACTTTTGCTGGTTAGCAAACCTACGCTTCTTTTAAATTGCCCCTGATTTCTCATTTGGGTCTTAAATCATTTACGGCCAATTTTTAATTTCAACCTTGAAGTAGACCATTATCAGCCGTAATTGTTAATTAAGACAGCATTCGGTGGGCCGAAGTGACGTACAGAATAAAGAAGGCCATTGAAGAAGAATGTGTTTGGAATGTTTTTGTACAAAAAATAACAGTAATCATCGGCTGTGTTGTAATTACAACATTTTTTCTGACGACAGTATTGGAACACAAAAATAACATAATATTACGGCACACTGCCATATATTTAAAAATCATGCCCGTAAGATTAGTTAGGTACTAGGAAGTTGTAAATCGTGTTTTTTTTCTCTTTGCATCGGCAAAATGTGATCAATTCTAAACCATATTTGATAACGTCATCGGTTGTCTCATATAATCAAATGGTAGCTTAATCTTCATCCTTGACGTCAAATTGGCCCGAAGATGAGCAAACCGCTATTAATCAATACATACTGGGAAAAGTTTTGATGTTTCTGAACTACATGATGACAATATACACGGA